CAGGCCCAGAACTCACACTGCAGGCTCCCAGGTCTCCTGTAGCTGGCTTGGACCAAGTGCTGAGTGCCAGCTGATTAAAAACAAGGGAGGGGGCCTGAGGGGAGGACTATCTAAGCCTGCACATAACCCACATATGCATGAGTATAGGAGTGAATTATGAATGTGTCCACCTGTGTGAGTTTTGTGTTTAGTGTGTGCGCACACGGGTGTGACAGTGCAATTGTGCGTATGTAAAATGTAGGTAGGACAGGGACCCCTGACTCCAGCTCCCTGGGCCATGAGTTTCCCGAGGGAGGGAGGCCTTGCTGAGGCCACACTCACCTTTCCAGCCCTGCAGACATCTCTTCACTAAACTCTGAGCTCTCACTACTGCCTGGAAAAGGAACACAGATCAGTAAGCATGGCAGCCTCCAAGAGAGGGGCCTGTTCTCCTGGGCTCCCGGTCACAGCCCTGGTGTCCCCAAGCTCACAGCATTCTGACCCTGTGGGTCACAAAAGGGCTTGAGTTTCTGTGGTTATGCCTTTCTCTTCTCTAGGAGGGTTCGAAGTGCTCAGGAGTGCCCTCCACTCCCTTCCCTCTGTCTACCCTCTGGCTTGGGGGACCAGGGTCCTCAGGTCTATCTGCACTACTGCCTGTCTGCTGCCCCAGGGGCTCACCTGCTAAGGGCACAGGTTGGTTGAGCACTTCTGGCCTCAGGGTCAGGACTGGTCTAGATGCATCTGCCTGCACAAGAGACCCCAGGGGAGGGCCACTGCTGTCTCCTGGCCCTCAGAGACACTGCCAAGGCCTGTTGTGATACTTCTTCACCTTCCTGGTCTCCTCCAGACCCACACTCTGGAGCTGACCACAGTCTGCCAGGCATGGGTGGGGCATCCTGGATCCCTAGGCCTGTGCCCTGGAGTTAAACGAGCACCCGCTGCCCTCTAGGCACGTAGATCTGTATTGTCTTGGACTTTGCAGGCTCTAAAGTTCAGGGCTCTTCCAGAAAGAGATCTAAGACTGAGCAGTGGAAAAGGCAAGGGCGGAGCCCTGGCTGGAGCAGGGCCCCCATTCCCTGCTGTACGGGTGGGGAGCAGCCCAACACTGCCTCCATCAGGACACACACAGACATTGCCACTTTCTCAGAGCTTTCAGCTTAAGCAGAAAAAATGTCTTGAGTCCCCCGGCTTGAGCCAGAGCCAAACAAGCTTGTGATTCCCCCAGATGCTGGATAACATAGTCACTCTCAGGGGTAGCAGCCCAGACTCAGGCACAGCTCAGAGTTTCCTAGATGTCAAACAGCTGCTCGGGGCACAGCCATGCACTCATGGGCCCTATAAGAACCCAGACCCCATCATATTCTCTGAGATGAGGTTCATGAGTGGGACTCAGCTAGAGAGATCAGTGCCCAATAGTACAGCAAAGGCTCAGGGAAGAAGTCTAATTATCTTTCCTGAGCTCAGGAGCCTGGACTACTTCTTTGAAGCCACACCTATGAGCCTAAGATACACTTCCTACACTGTGTCCAAACTGGATGACCTCCTCTGAAGACAGAAGCCAGATATGGAACTTGTCACAAACTTCTAGGAGGCAGCTGCCCTTGACTGAAATTATTCCTGACTCTCAAAACTAGCCTAACTTCACAGGGATTTGTGGCATGAGACAACCCACCTGGTCCTGTTGCTTGCCTCTCCAAGCCTCTGCCCCATTGTCTTCACCAGAGCAAATGTAGCCAGGCAAATGTCAGCCCACCATCAGCCCTGGGGGAACTCTCTGCTATTGGAGGCAGATAAACACACCGGCACACTGAAAGGCAAAGGCTATCTACCAATGGAGTACTGGGCAGATGACAGCAATCACAGGGTAGTGTCACTTGTCCTGAGCTCTGTAAGGGAACAGATCTCTGAATGCAGTTCCATGCTAGCCCCAGTCCTAATGTTGACATCTCCCTGCTGATATCAACAACCCTGTTTCTGGAACTCCATGGACACAAGCTCCTTCCTGCCACTCTCCAGTAGTGTACTACCATCCCTGAGACTCGCATCCTTATCCTCCCTTCTGGTTCCTCTGGGTAAAGACAAGCACGCAAACTGTCTGAAGCAGTGGCCCACCACCTACTGCTCCAAGCAGGGCTTTAGGCTCCCCTTGGGATGTCAATGCCACCAAGGCAGCAGCTGGCCTCGGGGTTGAGGTAGACTTAAGTCCAGCTTCCTTCTTCAACCTGACTGTCCATTTGGGGACTACCAGAAGGAGAAGGCCACCCTGGAATTCCTCCCTGAAGCCAAAGATTTCTGTAGGGAAGCCATTCTTCAAGGGTGAGGGGCCACTGGGCACAGCACAGTGACACAGAGACAGACATGGAGCACACACTGGGCCTGCTGCCCCTGCCTGTGTGTAGAGGCCACAGACGCTTACCTAGGGAGAGTCCGTTGGTGATGGCGGTGGAGGAGGTGAGGGTGAGGCCCCTGCGGGGGCTGCGGGACTCTAGGACGCTGTCGTCCAGCAGGTGCCTGGCCTTCTCCGATGGGAATGTTGCACTCTTACTTTCAACTACACTCAACTGACACATCATACTGGAAAACGGAGAGGAAGAGAGAAGGCAAAGCTCCTTATCCTGGGAGCAGAGTGGCATATGGCCCTGGGGGCTGCCGCCAGGACTAGCTGTTGGAAACGCCTCTGCCCTGAGTCTGCTGGTGGCCCAGGCTCTGCCCTTTCTCATGGTGTGACCCTGGGCAAGTCACATCCTTTTTCTGAGCCTCAACTTCTTCATCTGTCAATGGAGACTAATGCTGTTTGCCCTGCCTGTCTCCCAGGATGACGGTGAGGCTTGTGAGATGAGGTCAAAGTGAAGGGCAGGCAGGCCATCCTGAGGACTGTCAGAGCTTGTGACCCTTCCTGGAGCCACAATGCTAATGGCAGCACCTGCTCAGAGGTTCACATGGTTCAGTGAGATGGTGTCTACAGGTGTGTGGCAATGTCTAGAGAAGAGGCGGCACCAGGGACCCAAAGCAACTTTGTCTTCCTGTCTCTGCCTCAGAGGTCCACTAAAGTCAACCCAGAAGCATGACACTTGTGTCTTAGTGCCGGGATGCAGGTGGAAGGAAGGGAAGGGGGGAGGGAGTCAGGAAAGGCAATGATGGAAGGGTATCCCCCTGTTTGGAAGCCCGTGACCAATGCCCAGGGGATACAGGCCTGGCTGTCTCCAACCATGCTGAGGGTCTACATGTCCTCCAGCTGTAGACCCTGCAGGGCCAGTGAGCCAGCAGGTGCTCTGTGCTCTGAGGATAATCACTGTTGTCTGCTGGACTCAGCTCTCCCTAAATGAGCTGTCAACCGAGTTTGTGCACATTTCTTTACTAGCTACTGAGCCTGGATCCCTGGTGGTGGCACAGGGACTATGCTGCCAGTTGCTCCTCTGCATTCCCAAGCTCACACCAGCCTTAGGAGAGTGTGTCTGCTGGGAACAAGAATTCCCAAATGGGGATGGGGAAGGACCCAGCACTCCTTCAGCCCAGAAGAGGGTTGCTCAGTCACCCACTTGTTGCCCAGGCTGTGGCTCTTCCTATGTCTGGGGACTGGTGGCGTGGGAAGGCTGCCAGCCACAGATGCATCAGGACAGGTGGGCCTCCGGCGGAACCTGGCTGAGCTGGAGCCAGCAGAGGGGCCTAAGAAAAGAACAAAAGGAGAGTGATGGCAGGAGCTGTGGGGGTGAAAGTAGGGTAGAGATTCAGGGGAGCCAGGCTCTAGGTTTGGGCTATGGACCTTTCCCCAAATGTCATGGGTAGACAAGGTTCACACAAAGCCAACAGCTGCCTCCCACTTATCGGATGCTTGCCCTTCCTTCCCAGGTTCACTAACTCCCAGAGGGAAGGCCTGAGGTGCCCAGGTGGAGTAGCTAAGCAGTTCTGCTGGGCAGTTAGCTGATGACCCATCCGTAAGAGTAGAGCTAGAGGTATGTCCTTAAAGCAAAGGTCCTACCTGGACTTCACAAGCCCAGAGAGATTAGGAGGAGCAAGAAAGGCCTTGAGTTGAGCCAACTGAAACTACACTTACACCTCTGTCCATATGCGTGTCCCTGGTCAGGACCTGCACACTGGTACTGGTTTTGCCTCTCTATCTCAGGATATTAACAATTCTGCCCCAAAGACTGGGCTGTCCTTGGAGGCTGTGACTGTGTGGTCACAGGGGATCAGGGCATCAATGCCCAGCCTCTCTGGTGGCCCTGCAGGGCCCTGAGGAGCATCCTTTGGTCTACATTCTGGGACATGGGATGCCTTCTACCATTGGGGAAACAGCTCTTGGAGCTGCTCCCAAGAGGAAGAGAGTAGTGTGCTACTTTGTTTTGCTTTTGTCCTAAGAGAAGATTCCAGAGGGTAGAGCCCCTTGTTTATCAGCAACCATGGGAGGATGACAAGTGACCGCTCCACTGCTTAAATCTCAAGGACCCTCTGTAGAAAGCCTGAATGGGGAGCCCAGAGGCCCTGGGGTTGGAGCAGAAATGACAGGATGATAATTAGGACAGGTCACTGCACACCTAGAATTGTGCTCTGGGGCCATGCCTCTAGCCATGAAGTATGCACTCTTAGTTGCCCTATTAGGCAGAGGCGAGGGCAGGCTTATAGATCTGCAATCTGGAGGCATTTCCCAAACCCGGGTTTGTGAGTGGGGAGGAATGCCAGGGGTTCAGTATACAGGTTCTGGGCATACCCAGCATCCAATATGTACCAGTTGTAAGCAGCACTGTATAAACACTCATGCCCCAGCTCACTGACTCCAGCATACTTGACTTAGGGAGGTGGGGAATCCTGGAGGCATAACACAGCCACACGGCAGGAGTCAGCTAGTAAGGGATTGGCCACTCTGAGGACATCCACTCTCAGTTCCACGTAGCTCTTGCTTCTAGCTTTGCTCATGCTCTGAGTTCTCACATGCCTTTCAGAGTCCCTTTGGCTGCTTCCACTCAACTCTGGATTCTCTCTACAAGACTAGGCCTGGATTTGCCCCTTTCCTTTTTGCTTTAGATCCTTGGGAAGCATGCCTGGCCTCGGATGCCCCTGGACCAGCTGGGGAGCTAGGCAGGGGCCCCAGCGGAAGAGCCTTGGCCTCTTGGCCTGTGTCAGGGCTGCTGCTGCTCTCTGGGCTTTAGGTCTCATCTCCCTCCTCCCCCACATTCTCCCAGCATTGTTGACCAACAGCCTAGGTCTGACGCGGAAACAGAAGAATTTCCATTCGGCTGAGACCCAGATGAGGGGCCTTTCTGCCAGTAAGTGACGCCCTCTGCTACCAAAAGGCCTCATGTTCCTGCTCCTCCAAGCCTGGGGTGGCCCCCATGTGACAGTGCCAGAACACGAGCCTTCTGGGCTGGGTGGCTGGTAAGCTTGTTGGTCGTATCCTCAGGCAGGGTCGGGGTGGTGATGAGCAGGGCCTCTGGTCTCCATAGCAGAGTGCAGGCCCCACTGCCCAGCCTGATATGGCATGGACAGTTGGAAAAACTGACCATGTGGCTTGATTATCTCAAAGGATTGCACTATTTTTCCTCAGCATAAGTTTTCCATGAATAATCTTTAAAACTCTTTAAGTGGCTGTTTCTTCAGCAGTTTTATTGGACCATATGAGAATTGACAGTTTCTGTAGGCAACCAGATATGTTGAAAAAAAAAAATCTGGTTTTCATTACAAGAAACCAACAGACCACTCATTGATTGAAAGAGGAAAAACAAAACAAAACACTCGGCCTTCTAATAACAGTCTTAGAGTAGCCAGGCTTCCTCATGATGTATGGTGACAGAAAGGGACTCTGGTCCTGGAGGCAGTGATGTCTGGGTTCTCATCTGTATCTGTGCTTACAAGTTGAGTGGCCTTGGGGAGGTCACCTTGTCCCTCTGGGTCCTGGATCTGCATATGTAAACAAGAGATGAGGAGCCTGTTCTTTGTTGCCTCCCTGTCAAGAGTTAAACAGTGTCTCTTTTTCTGCCACAAATGTTTAGGAAGCCCAGACCTTGGGCTGCCCCTGGGCAGCAACATCATAGATCAGAAAAATCATGATGCCCTGCTGGCATGGGAGTAACGGGCAACTCAGGAGGGGAAAGGGGGCCACCAGGCGGCTGCACCCAGCAGAACACAGGCTCTGAAAGGAGGGTAGTCATGCTCAACAGGGCAAGAGCACCAACAGCATGACAGTATCAGAGAGGGATGTTATAATCTCTAACCCTGACTAGCATCTACTCATGGCCACTACTAATGATGCACACTTTGTCTACTTGATCTTATTTAAGCCTCACAGTACCACAGGTTTTGGGGGAATATAAGGGAGGGATCAGAGAAGACTTCTGGGAGATTCGACACCCTGCCTGGTACAAGAGCCAGGCAGGAGCAGCAATAAGGGCAGAAGGAACAGCATGCACAGAGGCTCAGAGGGAAAAGACCGCAGGGTCCCAGCAAAGCCTTGACTTTATAAGGTGAGGTCTGGTGAGATGTTCAGACTCGTATCTAGTGTATAGTCCTGAGGATGGGCCAGGCAGAGATGTGGAGGGAACTGAGAGTAGCCCTCTATATGGAGTAGTGTGTACTTGGGGCACAGATCTAGGTGAACATGAGTAAGTCCAGTGTGGGAACTATGTCCAGAGGCCATGGGCATGGCTACAAGGAGCGCACACTGTGGGCAAAGGAACCTCTTCTCCAGGATTTCCGGACAGGCTCTGCTCTGGGCCAGCACTGTCTCATTCCAGTTGGACTTTCCAAGTCCCACACATGGGAAAGGTAATGGAGGCAGCTGTGGCAGAAACCAAAGTAGCAACTTGAAGTCACAAGACTTGGGTTCCAGTCCCACCTCTAGCCCCAGCTGGACAGGGGCTCATACCATCTCCTCCCAGGCACTGCGACTGCGCCATCTAGAGCTCTGTCCAGTACAACTCCGAGCCTCAGTGGCCGGGGCAGGCTGTCACCCAACTGAAGGGTTCAGAGTCCCTTGCTTCCCACCTGTTTATGTGGAGAGCCTTACTTTGAGATCCAGGACTCAGTCCTTCTGGGTCTGCCAGAGCCCTGCAGCTCTTGGGCCACTGGACCCCTCTGCAGTCTTTGTGTGGAAACTTTTCTATAGCCAGGTCTGTGGGGGGGCCTGGGAGCCACTCATTTCTATGTTCACACACATTCTGCTTTTCACACACACAGCTCTCATGGGTCTCGCTGAGAGCCAAGATCTGTCTCTGTGCAGAAGGTCCAGTTCATTTCCTTCTGAGAAACAGTGTTTGTCATCTCTGGGCTCAAGTGGCACCATCCTCTCCTTACAGACAGAAGGTGAAAACTCACAGGCAGAGTGGGAAACAAGGATGCTTGGAAGCTGTGGCAATCAAGGTGCTTGGGCCACTGCAGACCTGTGGAGCTCTCTCTGAGGATCCCACCCACCCTGAGCATGCCTCTGCAGAGGCAAGGCATTAAAGAGAGAAGCCACGCCTCCTGCCCACCTGGGCTCTTTTACTCAAGCATTTCAAAGGTGCTCCACAGACCACAATGGGCTTGAAAGATGTCTCCCACACTGGGGCCTGGGGTACTGAGAGTTAGCATCTTACTGAGCCCCAAGGATGTGAAGGTGACACAAGCAGAGCACAGTGGTGGTGGCCACAGTGGTGGCTGCACTCTCACCTGTGTTAGGATGAGGGCTACCCTGGCCTCATGTGGACCAATGGCTCTAGTGAGAAGACCATGTACAGCATGAGGGTGTGACTGGATCTCGGCAGGAAGCTGCTGATGGAACGATGACTCTGATGGGGCTTCAGAGTCCAGGAGTGTATTTTTATGTGCCAAGGTTGAGGACACACGGACATCCGTGGAAGTGTCCTGGAGAAATGGCAGCTTTACAAGTGCCCCTTGCAGGGTACTGTGTCCCAAGACGGCAGCAGCACTGATACAAATGGGGCTGTGGTTAGCAAGTCGAGGGATCTGGAGAACTGTTAGGTGAGAAAGACGGCCACACTGTTGCTCTCTTACCACAGACAGCCAGGCCTGAAGCAGCCCAGAGGAATGAGGCAAGGGGACTGAACACAAAATAAAGTTTGGGGTCCTGATTCCTACAAACTCAATGCATCTGTCACCCTGTATGGCTTATAAGGTGTGTAAGAAACTGGGTGTGGTAACATCTGCAGTCCCAGCACTCAGGAGGTAGAAGAGAAGAAGCAAACATTCAAGGCCATCCTGGGCTACATACTGAGTATGAGGCCAGTCTGGGATAATGATACCAGTGTCTCTTAAAAAAAAAAAAAAAGAAAAAATCGGGGCTGGAGAGATGGCTCGGTGGTTAAGAGCACTGCCTGCTCTTCCAAGAGTCCTGAGTTCAATTCCCAGCAACCACATGGTGACTCACAACCATCTGTAATGATATTTGGTGCCTTCTTCTGGCCTGCAGGCATACACCCAGAGAGAATACTGTACACATAATAAATAAATTTTAAAAAAAAATCTATGCTCCATGTGTTGGACATAAGTGACAGACCTGTCCTGACCCCCAATGTTGGCTCTGCCACTTCTGTGATGTGTGAACCTGGGTGAGTACCCTGGTATCTTTGCCTACAGAATGGGAGTGGGATAAGAGTGACCCAGGCCCAACTGTCTGCTAGGAGGCCCAGGGGCTTGCCAGGCATGGGCTGGGTACACTCAGTGAGCATGTGGGTAGGCTCAGGAAGGTGCTCAGCCCAGGTCAGCACTAGGTGGTGAAGATGATGAGCAGAGGGTTCCCTCGTGTGAACTGTCTAGAGTGTTCCACACACTCCTTGGTTGCTCCAGTGAATGGCAGGATCTGGCCTCTCTGCTTGGACCTGAACCAATCTCGGCGACACTCAGAGGAAGGCTGAGGTGAGGCTGCCTGGATTCGGAGACTGGTTCATGGAGATGTTACTTCAGTTTTCTAGCTGCCCTCCCCATTTCTGCTCTGGGGACAGCCAGATGCCAAGCAGGAGTCTGACGACCCTGAGCCTGTTGCACTCTGGGGAAGCCCAGGCAATATGAAGAGGCTCCAGCTGTGCTACACTGCTGATGCTCCAGCTCCAGATAGCAGCAGGAACCAGGTGAGTGAGTAACCATCCCTCTAAGTGACTCCAATCCTAGCCCTGTCTCCCCTGATGCTCTGACACACAGAATGTAGGTGTGATATTAAGTGATAATGAGGTGGCACTGGACTAGATGTGTGTCTAGTTCACAATCTGGTGCTCAGGTGGCAGCCTCTCGTTGTCTCAGGAATCAAGAGTCTGCCTGGGAAGGACAGGAGCCAACGTTCCCAAGAGGCACTGTGCCAGTAGCAGAATTTCTGGCACAGCCTCAGGGAACTCCCTCCACAGCCCTGGGATGTGAGCCGGCTTGAAGCCTTCCTTCTTCCATAGCTCAGAGATGCTGCAACCAGGCTCTATTTAAGTCTGCTGGCCTGGCAGCAGGGCTCTTGCCACCAGATAGTGCACATGGAGACAGAAAGGTATGTACCCTTAGGCTGAGAGAGCAGAGACAGAGGCCAGGCCAGGATTTTCCTGGACTCAGCATGGCTCTGGAATCTTCAGAGGAAACCTGTGCCCAGGGGAAGCCATGTGGGGGAAGCTTGCACAGCCTGGGTCATCCCAGCAGTCCCTAGAGGGCAAGGGTCAGCTCCAAGGAAGCTCCAAGATACACACAAGCATCACTTGCCCTCTGGGAGTGGGGGGTGGGCAGCATTGTGACCATTACATGTGATTTTTTTTCTCTCCAGGAAAGTATTAGTTCATTTATATAAACAGTATCACATGGAGAGGGAAACTGGAAATGTGGCATCCCTGGTCTTTTTTTCTCCACAGATCAGAAACTGAGTCAGTTTCCTCCATTTCCTTGCTTGCAGTCTCCTTGTAGGAACAGACTGCCCACATGGCCACTTGACCCAGAGGAAAGTTTGTAGCAGCCTTTGGCAGGGTTCTGGAGCTATCAGAGGCCAAGGGAGCAGTTGTAGCTTGGAGGCGGCTGCCGCTGGTGTTAATCAAGGCTCCTGAGGTCACAGCTGCTGCTATCTGTGCGGGGTCAAGGTCTCCCAGGCCCTGGCAGGAGCTGGTTAAAAAAGAGTCACAGAGATAGCCCCTCACATACATACCATCTTGCTCTGCTCACACTGGCTTCTTTTTGGCTCCAAGCATGCCTGTCCTTGCCTGTCTCCCCAACTAAGACAAGAGCTCCAGGAGGTTGGGGCCCCTGCCAGGTAACTGTTTCATAGCAAGTGCTTGTCACACACAGACCTGCAGCCTAAGAGCCTCATGTAAATGAAGGTGCAAACCTAAAGGCTTTCCTTGGCAAGTGTAGGACATCTAACTTCTGGGCACAGCTCTGAGCTGGAGTCTATCCCCTCCTGAGGAGCAGAGGGAGGCCGCGTTCCTCC